TAGACCATATGATTTTCACTTTTCTGGACTTCTTTTCCAGAGCAAGGTCGTCAACCTTTCGTCCAAATCCCAACCCTGAGGGCCAGGTCCCCGTACTTATATCCCCAGGAACATGGCACAGTTATGCACAATGTGCATAGAGTAATTGCTTTTTTTATTCGCGACTGTATTCGGTTATTGATGTGGTTAAGTTTTTGCATATGGTAATGTGGTATCTACTGCACTTTTTATCACAGTGTTTACACACACACGCGTCATTTGCTTCGTGGAAACGTTCGTTCTTGCATATCTTGTGGTGGAATCCGTGTGTTGCCAACCTAGTAATTGTGTGTCGTAATTTTCTGTTGGGTCCTGTCCAGGTTCTGTCAGTCATTGCATCAGTGCTGTAGAACTCTTCCCATATTTCCTCTCTTTTTTGTTTTCTTTCTTTGATAACTTCCTCTGAGTTTTTTGTGCTTGGCAGTTGATATCTGAGTTCTTCTATTAGGAAATTTTCCTTGCAGAGATCGTATGTTAGTCTGGATTGCGTGTTCTTAGGAAGCCCTAGCGCTAGTTTAAGGTATCTTGCCTTCACTTGTTCTATTTTCCGCAGGTTTTGTTTGGATAGTTTTTCCCAGGTTATCTCTATGCCATATAGTGGTATGGGACAAATTTTTGCATGGAATATTTTCATTGCTGTTTCTAGCGATAATAGTTGCAGGTTTCGGATGGTGTATATGGCTTTGATGGCTGCTGTGAATTTTTCTGTTATGTGTGCCGTGAATGTTGTAGATGTAGACTGCAGTGTTAAGCCGAGGTATTTATATTGTTTTACTGATTTTATGTGTTCTCCATTAAATTTTATTTCTTCATTCTTTCCTCCTTTTCTGAAAGTCATTAGTTGGGTTTTATTTTTATTTATTTGAAGTTTGTTTTGTCTTGACCAGTTCTCCAGTGTAGTGGAGGCTTCCTGTAGCTCCTCAATATTTTTTCCTCCAATTGTCATATCATCGGCGTACATAATTAATTGTACCCCTGTGTGTTTTTCCATTGTTTTGGCCAAGTCTGCTGTTGTAATATTGAATAGTAATGGGCTGAGGGGGTCCCCTTGCAGTACGCCATTTGTTTGGGTTATTTCTTCGGATTCTGACACCGTGTCTTTTATTATGATTTTATTGTTTTTGAGGATGTCTCCTATTAGTCTTGTTGTTGTGTTCTCTTCTCCTACTATTTCCCTCAGTTTTGTTGTGATTATACTCCTGTCGAGTAGGTCGAATGCCTTGCTATAATCTATGAAAACTACATGGTATTTTCCTCGTGGGTGTCTTAATGCTTCTTCAATTGCTTCTAGTAGTGCTGTGATGGCTTGTATCGTTGATCTTTGTGGCCGAAACCCAAATTGATTTTCCGGGATAAGTGAGTCTACTGTTGTTGTTAAACGGTCAGTTAGGATTTTGGTCAGTATCTTGATGTGCACAGTTATGCTCCCAGGTACCGGCTTCCCTTTTCGTCACCTTCTACGACTCGCAGGGCTATGGTGGAGGTATTTCCAACCCGCCTCCACGGCTGAATATAAAAACCACTTTGGTGTAAATATCTCACAAGTCATAAACCTTACGTTAAACGGTACATTGACCAGGAAGTGAGCGCTCCACACAGCCTCCCTGCGGACTGTGCTCTGAAACATCTCCCGGTCCGTTTAACATGAGCAAAGTGACGCTCCACGTGCGCCCAGATAAGCGTGCACGAGTTCATGCAAACTGGCCGCTACTGTTGTCCAATATCAACCAAAACTGAGGACGTCGCCAAATTCAGAAGAAAACTCTCAGTATCAAATTTGAATGAAAAATATTGAAGCTACTGAAAGACGCTCAAGATAATGCCACCCCCCCCTCTCACTCACACACACACACACACACACACACACTGGCTGGTAATTAACTAGGCCGGATGTTAACGAGGACTCCCACGTCTCCTCGCCCTCTTAACGCATCCACTTCTTCGTGAAGCTGATGGTTGCTCAGCCAGCCAAGAAATTATCCGCGCTCATAAAACCAGATCGACACTAGATCCCCAATCACTTAGACAGCGGAATCCCCTTCACAACCTCTAACCCTCGGAAGCCCCCAAAATTCATCCTATCACAGTCAAATATTTAACTACTGATTTCCTAGGTCACAGAAAACACACTGCTTCTTAATAACAAATAACACTGTTTAGGGCAACAGTCCCTGTATATTGCGAGAATCACACGGTACATATAATTACCACTGCATCTGAGGGTTCCTATTATTCTCGCATGTACGCCTATGTTCTGGAAGTGATTTATTTCCTTGGTATTTCCGAACCAAAATCTTACACATGTTATTGTTTCTCCACGTATGCTACAAGTCATACCCATCTCATTATTGTTCTATATAACAGCCTAAATGTAGCGTGGATAACGCGTCCAAGCCCTGAAATCCTGGGCTCGAATCTTGGCCTCAGGGATGGATTTCGCAGTTCTTACATCAACTGCGTATATTCTATAGCACCATAAAACAGACCACGACCACTTCAATATACCATTCGGCGCTATGTAGCAAGTTACGCAGTCGGCTAGTTGGGAGCAACGAGGGGGCGATGCCCCGGCAGCGGCTGGTGAGAACCCTCAGTTCACGGTGCGCCTCGCCCCTTCTGCGCCCCGACGCCAACAGAACTTCTCTGCTAATGTGACGCTTTGGGCGGTAAAGCAAGCGCTTCCTCGCTATCGGATTGACGAAAATCGCCTTCACCTGTTTATGGAAAAGGCGTAAAGAACGATTCAGAGTTCTAAAGAAACTCATCAGCTGTACCGAGGAGGGAGACTTCTTGAGAAGCCGACAGTCGCTCAGCTAGTCACGACATCCCTCGCATTTTACGGAAACCTACCATGTTCACAAAAGCCTGTCACTAGATCCTATTTTATTCAAGGTACGTTTTAAACATTATCGTGCCATCTACGACTAGCTCTCTCAAAGTGGTCCTTTCCCTTCAGTTTCAAACTTAAAACTTATAAGCGTCTGTCCCGTATGTGCTACAAGGCAATATCAAGTTTTTCTGTGGGAGTTTCGATTAGTGGGGGGTGGAGTCCAACTGGGTGCACTCGGCACTGCGGCTACTGATTCGCCTATTGTAGCCTGCCCCGGGTGATTGTGATGATGGAGAATTTGGTGAAATGAAGATTTGCAGGGGAAACTGAAGCACTCGGAGAAAACCCCCTCCCCGGCGCCACTTTGTTCACCACAAATCCCACTTGACCAGAGCCGGGATCGAACCCGGGCCGCCGCGGTGGGAAGCCAGCGACTAACCGCTTGAGCTATGGCGCGGCCTTCTGTGGGGGTTACGTGAAAGATCACTTAAAAATGTTCGATAAACTGTAATTTTCGGTAAATATGAAAAGCGTTTGTCCTCAGGGTTCTGGCAACTCTTAGGGTTAACGCTTCAGCCATTTTGTTTCCTCTGAAAGGTCGAACAAGTTCACTCAGCATCAAACGGAAGTTCGTGAATAAAACCATTTTTTGGACATTTCTCTCAAGTTCACACAACTGTTTCTGAATTACACAAAGCTACAGAACCGCCTAGACTCTTTTGGTTCCTCCGGACTCGTGTGAAATCAAACCACACAAATTAAGAACAGCCTCTACCTTCTGGAACATGTCGCCTCCATCTTCAGGGATGAAGTGTACGGCAAGCAAGAAACCGGCGTAAAGCAGGGTGGTGATTTTGAGCTCACAAAAAACTAATTTAAATAACAAAAATGTGAAAATGTTTTGAACATTAAAAAAGTAAACAAGAACCGAACAAGGTGGCTCGGGAAGAGTCTTGTTCGTTTTCTTCTTCCCTCGAGTCATACGAGGAGATAGTAGATTAAATTCGGCCACGACCGATTCCTTCCACATACTATCTAATTGCAATTAATATCGACTAAACCTTCAACGTTATTCAGTCTGAAGGAGGGAACATGAAGACCGCCTTTCAGAATAGTGTTCCGGCCGATATTCGAACCCAACACCTCCCAAGTGCGAGTAAAGAACGTTATCACTGCGATAGCCTGCTCGGTTCCGCACAGCTTGCAATACTGCTACAGCACTAGCACTCGCTGTGCGTACAGGACTGTACGGCGTCACAACCCACGCTCGCGTGTTTGTTCGTAAGAAACTGTTTCTGTGAGCGCACCATCACAACCTTATATAACTTTGTTAGAACCTCACTTCCTATCTCTTTGTGTAATTCGCGATCTCCCGGGTTTAGTAACGCCGTCTAAATTGGTAAGAATTCGGGTTGCGTTTCGGGGAAATTTTTGTCGCCTCCATCTATCTTCATGGCCGAAGGAAACACCAAACAAACCAGGCGAAAAGCTGAGCAGAGCTTCTGTCGGACTGTACGGCATCATACCCCGAGACAGTTGTCTTGGCAGTCACTGATGTGGGAACCTCAGGTCAAATAGATGTGATAAGCTTCGAAAAGCATTGTGGTATGTAGACCCGTTGCTAGCCAACGACCGCAAAATAAGCAACTATACAACATCCCGTGCTGAGATGTTGTAAGCAGGACAAGTTGGGGAACCCAGAGGAAGGGAAACGTCCGCCGCTGGAAGCCACTACAAAGCAAACAGACTGAGAAGACCTAGTGTGTCCCATAGTGATTTCTGAAGTGTAGTAACATGTTGTGTTAATTGCGATTAACAATCCAAACCCCGTCTAAAGTCATTCAGTCACGTGACAGTAGACAATAATTTGAACCTGCATAGTTTGGCCAGATATTGGAAGCCATCAGGCAGAGTACAGAACTAGAAAAAAAATCGTGCAAAAATATCGAGGGAACAATTTTCATTGATCGCCATGACGACGACGACGACGACGACGATGACGATGACGACGACAACAACAACAACAACAACAACAACAACAATAATAATAATAATAATAATAAGTACTACGCTACAAGCAATTGTATGACACAGTCTGGTAAACTTAACGCGCCGAACTGGTGGTACTCACGTGTGCAAATGCCCTCGGAGTTGGCCGCCAACACGGGTTTGCCCGTCGCATGAGCTGCTACAACACACTCCAGCCCCTCAGCACAGGAGCCATAGAAACCATACGGTCCGCCGCACGGCTCATTCTCAACCCGGGCACAAACCCGGCAGCACCCACATGGGTCCCAGACGGTGCCCCCACCGGGGCAGTCACCTTCACTTAGTTCCTCGCACTCGGCCGGACTGCAGACACAACTAAATCCGGACACGAAACGCAGAGAAAACAGCAACAGAGCTGTAACAAGCATCGCTGCACAACAACTAACAGAGTTGTTCTGCCCCATCTAACCACATGCCGCCTTGCCGTTGCTTGGTGCGCACAAATGCGTTCTGATTCCCCCACAGACAGTGGCTATGAGTCACACTTCAGTCATCCGCGTTTTCAGTTTCACATGGCTGTAAAATAACTTACAAACACCCACTGATTCGCTTCTTCCATGTTTATCACGCAAGAATTTTCCGCCTACACGCACTGAGACATTGTTTTGTTTCCGCTGCAGCGTTCTTCTGTATAGGCCAGCAGAGCCGATGGTGCCAGTTATCAAGTGTACTGGCTTGGTGGAGTAGAACGATAAATACCAGCACTTAATTAACTGTTCTTTATATTTATGTTGAAGACATTTCGCATAACTTATTATGAGTAATGTTCTGTGGTCTCACTCTGATATTTCACATCACATTGGTCTGGAATTATCGCACCTTCAGAAACACGTCAACGGAAAAATTGGCGCACAAACCAACAGGAAGTACAGTCAAGCTTCTTAATCTCATGAAGTTAACGCAAATCTGATTCAAACAATATTCACTACGCAGCGTGTACAGACTGTATTAGACAACACAACGCCTACCATTACTTTCAGCGTACGCTGGCACCGCGCCGACTGCCGACGCACACCGACGTCTTCCCATCACATGGACAAACACTGCAGTGCTGCCAATAGGACTGTCAATGAATTACCTAGTAACCAGGCTAGTTGGGGATAAAAAAAATCACTGATTTGACATGCAAGGAATTCACATGTTTGTGCTTATGATGCTAAGACGGATAGGCGTACCTCATTTCACTACATCCCACAAGACATCTACGTCATACTTTTGCTTCCGGTAACTTTTTGACCACAAAGGATTTGTAGCCCCCCGCAAACAAAACGAAACAAAGCAACTGACAGTACGACAGCAGGAAGACCCTATAAACAGAACTTATAAGAAAAGGTAAAGTTGATCATTTGCTTAATTATGCACTATGCCATGAAGACGTATGGAGGAGTGGATGCATAGATCCACATTTTTCTTGACCTCGGCACTAGATAGCAGAGCGGTCAGCTTCACGCCCCTGCCGCTTTGCCCACGGGGAAAAGCCCCCTTTGGTATCCATAAGATAGGAGACTGGGTCGGCTCCAGAGCCGGAATGGATGACGTGGAGAAGAATCTTTAACCTACCGGGATTCGAATTCCGGGCCCCTTCGGTCGTCCTGCCTGTAGCCAGTCGCTATACCGACTAAGCTACCTCAGCTAGTAAACAAAACGTATGGCACATTTGACGCATTCTTTAATAAGAGAATAACTACTTCAGAGTAAATTCAGAACTAAAATAAATAATAAGGTAATAATAACATTCATCTTGTTTGGCTTGCTTGTAGTAACAGGTTTCATGCTGGTCTTCCAAGATAAATTACATAAGGAACCTTCTGATGTTACTTCTTTTGATAATAAAAGCACTATCAGATGATTCGGAATGCTAGCTGCCCAAGATATTATATGAGCGTTACATCTTGTAGGTCATATCGAGTTAGAAGTTTGATATTTGTAATTTTGAAAAAATGTTGCCGTACATTTGCAACGACATTCGTAAACGAATCCACAATTATAGCATTTATAAGGAAAGCAGAATAAGTGCTTAGAAGCGAAGACTTCAAAATATTCCATTATTTCAGTCTCAAATGTCCAAAAGAGCAGAAAGCTAGTCCCAATTCAAATATTTCTAGCTAAATTCTACCGGAAAACACAGCGTTGAAGCGAGTGAAGGTCGCCAACCTGAGTGTGCTTACAGGGCCAACCTTTTCATGCTCTGATGCCAGGGTCTGGCTCCAGTGCGCCACTGGACAGCAGACTGCGTTCAGTCACTTGGCAAACAATTTCATTTACATATGCAATAATGCGTCTAGAAATTTGAAACTAGAACAAATAAAACCAAATACCTGCGACCAGCTATGTGTTGACACACTGTGGATACCGAGCCACATGCTGCTCTTTTGAATCCTTAGTGCAGCTAGTAGGGAAGCAATTAGTCTTTTTTTTTGTACATAGCTGATGTGTAAAAATAGACCCCACGGATTGGGGAGAGGGCTTGTATCATCCACACCACCTCTGTCTGAGTCTCCAGGACTTCTGAAAATTATCTTATACATCTCCAATTTACATTATTAATTTGTGGCAATCCTGCACCTGACTTCATGTTCCAATAGTTTGACACAAATTTAATTTGGCAATTACTTATATACTGGATGCTCAAATGGGGCTGCTGCAGGTGGCCATATTTACACTGTTATGGCTTATGTCCGTCGGATCCTCACATTTTTCCTTCGCCTCACCAGGAGCCCTTCGTGTTCCCCAAGAAGCAGGCAGAAAAGAAGGGGGGGGGGCTGCAAGACTTGCATTGGTCACTGCTACTCTCAAACTCAGGCCCCCCTTTACAGAAGCCCAGTGCCATTTCCCAGAGGACAGATAGATGGTCTCACACTGATCTTCCAGTGGCGTACAAATGAAGTGCAGATATAATCAAGGGTCCCAGAACAACCATGAAAAGCCTCAGTCCAGGAGGAACCTTGCAGAGATTTAAAGTGTGTACCTTCTGCAGGCGAGAGGTCTAAATAGTCATAACTGCACCAGCAAGATGCAGGTCAAAAGTGCCTACATATGTATGTCAGCAGACTCCTTATCTACATAAATACTGGCATGTTTTGAAACCAATCAACATTACACTTTTCATGAAATAAGAGCAGATTAAATTCAGAAAGTGCCTGTCAGTTCAGCATCTTTTTGTCTTCCCATCTGCTGTCTAAAAATATGAAGAATAAAACATACAAAACCATAATATAGCCTTCTGTTTCTCTGTAGGTACAAAACTTGCTGTCCTGAAAGTCATAGGGAGTGTGTCTCAGAACAGGGTGGGTGCTGAGGGAATATTTGTACCTGACATTACATAATGCTCAGCATCATCAAATGTTATTAGATGATTATGTCTGGGAGAATGGGATGGATGGGACATGTAGCACACATGGATGACATGAGAAATGTTTAGTCAGAAAACCTGAAGGGAACAAAACAGCTTGGAAGATGAAGCATGGATGGGATGATAATATCAAAATGGATATTTCTGCCAGGTCTCAAAATAATGAAGATTCAGCTTCGGTAATATAGTGTAGAATTTTCTTGACTAGGTGAGCAATCAGCCATTCATATATATAAAGTCAGTGTCAACCAGTAAACGTTTTTACTGTTGTGACATTTAGAAAGACAAGACAGTATTTCATTAATAAGAAATTAAAACAAGATGGCTCCTTCTCAGTTATTAGGTGCTTCCAAGTAACTTTTATTTCATGAACAAATTATCTTATCAACATTGTGTATTTCTTGAAATTCTAAGAGCACAAAAAATTCAGAGTCTGCCATCATATGGCAGTAATTACTGCTACTCAGCTCACATTGCTGCCATATTGGTAATACTGATGGTAAGAAACAATGAAGGAGAATGGTACTCTTATCTCAATATTCATATCAAGCAAATTTCATGAGGATCCATTAGTGGGATTGAAAATTATAAGAGTGGACATAGATTTTACACAGTTGAGAAACCATACACATCTCTTTGTAATATTTTTGATTTCTGATGATGGTATATAAGGCAGTATATTTCCCAGCCTTTTAACAATAAAATTACACACAAAATGAATAGATGCATGCACACATACATTTGACATCATTCAACAATATTATGTATACGATACAAACATTCATAAAGCCATTGGTTATTGTCTTTATTCAGTGTAGTAACAATACTGAACACAGAGAAATGGTGCATTACTTTCTGTGCAGCTGTGTACATGACTCAGACTCTCCATGGCCCTTATGTAATGAGGCCTTAATCACATGTAAAAACTCCAGTGATATGAGGAGTACTCCAATATGCTTCTTGATCAGCTTATAACTTTGTTCTTCTTCAGTACATTTTCACTGAAAAAATAATTTTTTGTAAACTATTATTTGTATTCATATCTATACAATATGCCTCATGCGGCAACAATAGAACCATACAAAAAAAAAAAAACGTAAAGAGATTTCAGCTGTTATGAAATTCTCTCCCAGTTTTACAGTTTCCTTTATTCTGCATACAAAGCTATCACCTCAGTAATTTCACAGTGCAATGGTTACAGCCTTTCACATAATCTGGGCCATTCATATAAAAATATGAATAAATTTACAACAGCCAAATCACTTAACTGTGGCTGCATATTGATGTTAACTTGAGAACTGTTATACAATATGTTAAAAGCAAGATACTTCCAGTAAGTAAAAAATGACCTCATCACTGTGTTCATTTAATACCATAACAATACATTTAAATTTTCTTGTATCACACATACCTAGCGTTCATTCCATATATACAAACTCGTGGGCTGTACTTTTTCTTCTATTCTTTGGAGGGTAGTAGTTTACATACAGTTTTTTCATTAAATATGTTATGGTATTAAATGAAACTAAATTACACCTACCATCTATACATAACATTTACATACATTATGTCCAGTACAGCAACTGGCTGGATGACAGAGGGGTCGGTGTTTGAGTCCCAGCAGGATAAAGAAAATTCTTCAAATTGTCAAGACTAGTTATGGGGCCCACACAGGCTCCTTACTGATTTCTTCAGAAAAATATTCAGCCACAGAAAGTGTTGTGTAAACTTACATAAATCTGTATTTGTCTCCCATTAGATATGGAGGTACAAATACTTTTACTCTTAAATTTTATTCCCTAGTCTAACATGGTATGCCACATAAAATGCAAGATGTTATGTTATTCTTCCTTGTCTCCAACTTTAATATTCTCCAGATTTCAATACTGCAGATCTGCAGTTGGGTAAATTTTATTTTGGTCCATATTAGTTAAAATAATATCTATACCCTATTTTACATGAATATCTGTTAAGTTGTCACTTTCTTAAAATGGTTCAAAGTATACCAATAACAACTGTAAGATACAAAATATATTTCACAGAACTTAACAGAAATTATGGCTCTATACAATGTGATTTACACACCAGTAATTTTGATCCCAATAAGTTAGCTTGAAGACAAATTCTGAAAGAACACATTTGGAAGCATTCCATGGAATACATATATTTACCAATAACTTTATATTGTGAAGAAATATTTTTTACTTTAGCTGATGTCACAATACAATCTTTGAAAACCAAGTCTCAACTATGAACACCTATATCCCACTGCATAGGCCTTCGTGATTATATGAAACAAATGTATATAAATGTATAATTTATAGAAGCATCTAACAACATGAAATGAACTGTGCAATCAATCCAACTAATGACCCTGTTATATATTGTGGTCTCTCACTGTAATTTATACACAGGCCTCTGAAATCTTAATACAATTGCAAGAGACATAACCTTAGTTTTTTTGACTACACATTCATTTTATACAGTATGCACAACAAAGTTCCTCTGGTTTTGCAACTAACTATTTCTAACAGGGAACACGATAACAATGACTTCTTTCCCTTAGTATATAAACGCTGCATATATTCATGCTGAACTGAACTCCATGGCTTTAGTCCACAAGCAAACTATACCGACAAAAAGACCGCTGCTTATCGGCAAAGTAAATGCCATTTTTAATAAATATGCTAACAGAAATGGCAAGGGTGTATTAGGTTTTAATATTTGTCCATTAGTTAACATTCTTTTGTGATATACTATGCATCTAATCTCAGAAAATTTACACAGAACAAGATGAATTTCAGTCACACTTGCCTTGCATTCACTGGGCTACACAACCCGTTAAAAAGTGTTCTTGTTCTAGGCAAACTGCTGAGACTATGCAATTAGGTCATCAGGTCACAAACTGATCTCAGGTAAAACTGTTATTAGATTTCTCAGAAAATGAGACATATTTAATGTAAAATAATCATGTTCTAGTGTTTTTAATGAGATGACCAGTTCTGCAACAGATACATTTACTTTAATAGACACAAAAAATACATCTTTATGAAATAGCTGAGAACACAAAAAAAAAAATTCTTACAACAATGATTTTAACAAATTACGTCTGAGAACCTATTGCTAGGTAAGGAAGATGAGAATAATGGGGTATGTGCATGATGTTGCTTACTGCAAACATGAAGGAAGGCTTTAACTTTGTTGATATTTTGGTTAGCGCACCAACTGCATACTGAGTTTTCTTTAAAATACTGCCCTCAGATATTTTAAAAAATATATTTAAATGTACTAGGTAACTGAATATATCTGATGCTGTAACATTAAAAAATTCTGCTTTAGACCATGTGGTGTAGTTGTTTTGTAAGATTCTCACAATAAATATCATTAGTCAGCTGGTTACTGTCATGCAGAGAAAATGCATTTTCTATGAGGCAGAAACTGAATTTTTATATATTAGAGATGAACTTCAAGCACCAAAGGGATAACTACAGCTTCGTGTTCCTGAAACTGTTGATGGGTTCAGTGTGGCACTTTGTGCAGGATAAACACCAATCAATGTCTCTATTTGTCTGCAAAGTTTTTATATTTCACTAATGTAATGACAGTTTCCTAAGGCTAAATTTGTTCAAAAATGATATCAAATGTAAGAGGGCTTCATGAAGTTTAGAGGAGCTATAACATAAACTCAAGATATGTAGAGACAATTTAACATTTACCTGAAAAGTTCCTGTTATTTTAGAATATGAACAGTCAGATACAATTTTTCATATGCGCATGCATGCACAGATATATATTATTGAAGAAATAAGCCCCAAGAGGGGTAGAAAAAATTCTTATTAATTCCCACAGTAGCAAAAGCAGGTGTAAACAACAGAAAGAATTGAGCAACAACACAGTGGTGTCTCTTCCTGTCTTAACTGTATGATACCTCAAGTCAGTGTCTAGAAGTTATATCTTTAATCAGTCTTACTTCTGATGACATTAACTTACACAAACTTCACCGTGGGGTCAAGGAGACCAGAGTGTGAAGCTGACTACTCACCTTATCTGCTTGCTAACATCAAACACTGGCCATAACGAACCTGAATCACCGATGTTTTTCTAACTGCAATTTGAACACTGTTCTTGAGAACTATGCTGACCCACAACAGTTTTACATGATTGTCCAAAATGATACCATGACATCACAATTACACAAGTCCCTGTAGTGGCTAATGGAACACTACTTGGTTGGGTCAACAGCTTAAGTGACTCGACAACAGGGAACAAAATCCAGAAAAACATTTCTTGTTCCCATTTCACCAGCCTTTGAAGCAGCGATTCATCATCATATAATTCTACTGTCACTGTTAAAGATTATTATGGTTACTCTCATCACCATATAACAATGACAAGAAGACTTCATTAGGACCAGAATAAATCTGCAGGGCTCCAGTTGGTTTTCAAGTCATCATCACAGAAGATGCCTTTTGACAAAACCACACAGGTAACTATGCATCACATCAATAGCCTGCCTCAACACTCTGGTTAATTTGTAGCAGATGATATCTGTGAACTGATGCTACTGCTATAATCCTTATTCTTACTCTGAACTCTCAACGTGCGCACACACATGAATTCAGAATAGCATAAAAGTTTTGCTGTATAACAGTCATCTCGTAATTTTGCCATATACCAACATTAACAGATCTCTTACTTAACATTTCCTATTCTACCAAGCCTGCAGGGATATTCAAACTGATGTCACAGCTAGTCTGCCATGTTCGTAACATCTTTCAGTCTCCACATATCAAAAGTCTTTTGTACCAAATCCACAAATTTCTTACTTTTACCCATGTGGGTTTTACCAAACAATGTGGTTGTTTTACTGTACCTCAATATATGTATGTGGTTCACTGCCTTAAGTGTTTGTTCTGAACCACAGACTTGTCAGGTATAACACAATATAACTACAGTTTCTCACGTTGTTTGCAGTCTGGTGTGTAAGTTCTTGTGCCATAGAATCCTTGTTATCTCTGGTCCTGTAAACATTCAGTTTCTCAGCAAATAAAGATTTCAGATTTCAGGTTTAACCCAAGATTCTTGTTGAAGTAGACTACAGTGGTTTCCAGTTCCTCCAGACTGGAAATCTTGTCCTTTACACTTCATACTGGCTTGCGGTGGGGAGGAGTCCTCATCAGTCGCAAACAGCACACAATTTATGGACAGGTTCTAAAAAATCTGCTGTGACAGTACTTCCTCAACTTTTCCGCCTAAGAGTCCTTCTCTAATGCTTCTTTGCTCAGGGGATTTCTGTAATCTTGATCCCCTGGTTGCTACGCCATTAGTATATTTCTTATAACAACTCATTATCATTATTTTTATCAGCACCCATCGCAGAAACAATGGGAGTCAAGAGTATCCTCCATACCAGCATGTGTTTTGTCACTTGATCACCGTCGCTTTACAGTCTGGTGGGCTAATGAAATATTTATCAGAGAGGAAGACGAATGGATATTCAGCAAGATGTTCTCTTAATGATAGAGATGGCTGTCAACCAGACATAACTTCAGGGGCAGCAACACAATGCACATACAGTATGCTCTTAAGATATATTTATAAAGATATTAAAATCAAATCCATTTAATGACAATTCTGGCTATTATATCGATTTCTTAAACTCGGGAAAACTTATAAAGTGCCCAAGTCATTCAGCTTTATTATAGTTGGGCCTGAAATAGTTAATACTTAATTTCACAAACTGTTGTATGTACTTAATAAAAAATTATTGTTATATGAACTACTTCTTGTCCACAGCTGTATACAGTAGAGAGCCAGGAATTGCAAGCGTTGCCATGTCAATGGAACACAATGTTATGTTCACCGAATAGGCACCAGAATGTTGTTTTCAAAACAGAAAACATTAAGCAGCTTTGGCTACATTTTACAACTGTATCAGATTGTTATAAGTAATATAACTTAGTATTGGTAGGTAACTAAAACCCATGTTTCGATCATAACACACCTTGTCTGCAATAATGATATGATGGTCACTACATAAATCACTGTTACAGAATCTAAAACTACTTCAATCTCACACATAATTACAGGAACCACATGGGCAGCATAACTAAACAGCCCCAAACATTTCAACATATAAAAATACACTGGCAGTTTAGTCAAATGATGGGATATTTATTATATGGAGGGGAAAAAAAAAACAATTCTTATAGTTCTCTTTATATATAAACATACTGTTTTTCTTGGAAGAATCCTATCAGCATTATGGAAACATGCTTCTAATCATTAATCTTTGGGTCAGATATCAATCACCTTTATTATACATCCATTGAACAGCCATGGTACATGTGTTATTTCTTTTCCTTCATCATGAAGAAATTTTAAACAAAAAATAAACATTTATATCTTGAAGAGTGCAGTCTTTGGGGTTGTTTTGGACTAATATATATATCTATCTATCGCCATCATCTTCAGTGCTGCTCAACTTGTGATATACGCATTCTTCCAAAATGTCATGCCATCTCTAAACTACATGGCACTACAACCCAGAAGTCAGTACTCTTCACTTACAGTCACTGCAGCAAAAACCTCAAGCTCAACATCTACATCTTGTCACATTTACGTAATGACACTGTAGTGTCATCAGGTTATGTGTAAATGTGAAATTGGAATGAAGAATGCCGCCACATCCAAGAATACGGCATTCTCCAGTCACTGGCGGGAAAACGTCAAATCTTACATAGTTAAATTGGAATGTTAAAAACATCTCTCAAAAGATGCATATATTATCTGCAGAAATATCATCGGTGCATCTGACATTACACGCAACTCCAGAACACCACCAGACTGAATAAATAAATACTTATTACAAGAAACTAAGTCATATAAATAGAATAGTAACTGTCTGTCCTCTCCAGAGTGAGTCTCTTCTTGATGTAATGTTATGCATGTCGCTCCATGCTTGTGCGTTCCGATAACTGCAACTATTTGTTTGTGTGGTACAGTTTCCAGAATTAGTGCTGAGGTCACAATAACCAAAAAAGGACTGCAATGACTTGATTTTATGAAAAAATATAATTACATCATTAAATAGTACATAATAAACGCACAGAGCTCCTTTGAAAAACCAGCCATGAAACAGTTACCAATTTAGTTTTCCCATGGTCAGCCTTGAAAGTGCAACTTCTTATTGTGCTCATATACTGTTTACTGGTGGGCTTTGCTGGACCTAGTTTCAACCAAGGTTTACAACAATGAACTGGAAAAAGAAATTATGTAAACAAATATATCTACCTACCTGACGATGACCTTATAACGTTGAAAACATGTCACAACAGGATACAAGCACAACAAGTACCAGCAACTTTGAGATTTCCCCTGCAAATTAAATTATTAACCAGCACAACAGGATGCTGAAGTATGGTATCATGAAACAGTTATGTTGATTCCAACTAGGAGGGAAGCTCCTTCACACCTGGGCAGGTTTCTCCTTTCCCAAGACCATGAGGATCGCCTGCAGAGTGTGGGTTGTCGCTACTGCAAGAAAGAAAAAACACATGGTCAGCAGCAAACAGCTCTCTGCAGGTTCCAACAGCATTATGTGAAATGAAATGTCACTTTTATAAACTCTGCAAATGGTTTTATGCTTCCATACTTATTTTATCCAGTTTTTGCCACAAAAAAAACCTACATTACTTCTATAAAATTCAAGAAAATATGCAGTCAGCATATGTAAATATCAATTCTCTGGATCTGCTGAACCTGAAGGCTCTAGATCTGTCACTGCCTTTTTCTAGGACTGTTTATATATAGCATGTCACCAGCAGCAAACAAGCTGTTCTGCAGAATGTAAGTGAAACTTTATTTTACAAATGCTATGGGATCAGAAGCAAAGAATTTGCCTGACTTGAAAATGTTGAACTTGAACTTGAGTTCTGCACTGATCTATCTTGTTTGGCCAAAGTCATCATTAGAACATGTTGGTCATGGATAACAGAACAAACAACATAATTAGACTAATTAAGCAAGTCAAGTGCAGTATACTTCATGATGAAGACCAGGCTGTAAGATTGTAACAGTAACACAGAAAAGCTTAAGCAGTTGCAATGCTCTGTGAAAACAGAAGACTTGGGAACAAGAAGAAAACACGAGTATTAACAAGTCAGAAGGTAAAAGTGTGAGACCAAACTGTCTTCTTTCTTTTCTTTCCCTTATACGTAATCTTTTCTCAACACCAATCAATGCAACAAATAGCAATTACCTCTTCCTACAAAACACTGAATATTAATTAACTGGCCAAGTTGATATAATACTGTATAACATGCGCGCACATACATTTTTACTCACATTTTGATGTATTTAAATTCACAATTATTTTTTTAACATAATTCTCAATATCATACACCAACCTCATCAATGATTTGTGGCATAAGAACTGATAAATCAAAATGAATGCATGTAATGTAGTTTTTAATTCTGAGAAGAGGTGATCGCAAAGTATGATGGCATTTGTTAACTTCTGGTTGAATGCTTTGACCTGTACAGTTAAAGCCAGTCTGAAGTTCATGGCTACCATTCGGTTAGTGCACACTTTACTGTTCTGCATGGTGAAGCAATGGAAATGTGAGAGTGGTGGCTGTTAGCATCACATTTGTTTGTAAAACATCCAGTCTGAGAGCCATGATCATGCAACTCAAGAAGAGTTCTGAACGATTAGGCAACTAGCAGGTATGAGATAGGCAAGTTAACACAGGAGTAAACATTAACACTGTAGGATGAAGCCACCACATATTACTTTCCCAGACAGGAGCCAACACTTCAGTCTCCACCATTTGGGTAATTATGGAGACAGAAATGTTCCTCCAGAACACCGGTACCTGTCTACCAGATGTGTCATTCCAGAAAATGTGTTTGTGGGATGCCACAACACAGATTCCACTGAGTTATCAGTTATCATCAGCATAGTCAACATGCTGTTATTCTGTATTTTCCTACAATGATTATGCTAATAAAACTAGCACATTATCATGCAAAAGTGTTGTGTCCATTACACAAGTTTGCGTGTGCCACTGATAAGATTCACAGACTGGCTGAGTGGGGATGTCTACCGATGATATGATGCTGACAAAAACTGACTGTCCAAGTAACTCCATGAAACAGCCATTCTTCAGAAGGATGGACAGTCACTTGGCAAGTCGAGAAATTGCCCGACTTTTATGGAACACAAAGGTTCACTCCCAAGAGCCTGCTACTGATCCCTGTCCTGAGCCAAATAATTCCAGACCATACCCACCCACTGTCACTTTTTTCAGATCCATTTTAATACTATCCTCCCACATACAAACCTGTCTTTCTAGAAGTGACTCCCCTTCAGATTTGCAGAGCTATCAATTACAATTCAAAGTACTGATGTCTGTCACTGAAGCAGGGTATCCAGCAAGGAACCCTTTCAGAAAAACACATCTCAGACTTCTCAGCCATAAAATGCACACATCTGTATGCCATAAAAATCTGATGTTTTAGGTACTACTGTGAACTCAGAAATAAGCCAACACACTCTCAAGACTGCAACACTGCAAGTTAGGAAGAAGTGAAAAGGGGTTTAAAAAATTAACAAAACCTTTGTTTGGGGTCGTACAACCATCATTAGCTTTTGTAGACTGTGGGTTGCAGCACCTGCAATCAAAACAACACACAACGACATCCATAGAAAAATCATAACACAATTGAAATTAATTTTTACAAAAAATAAATGTTAAATTTAGTCAGTACTTACAATAAACAAGGAGATACGGTAATGACAACTAATTTAGGAACAGAATTGTATATTTTTGTCATGCAAAATTGTTATTATGAACTTTACAAGACACATAAAACTGAGATTGGAAACAAACAATATCATCAAACAGAAATCAGACAGAAATATAAATGAAATAATTCTAGACATGAACAAGTTGATATAGATGTTTGCCTAGAAGAGCTGAAACATGACACAGATTCAGATGGCTTATCAAGGTGGTTATCAGTGATAACCCCTTCCAGTTCTCTTCAATTTCTAACCTCCCTCTCACTACGAATTAATGTGTGTAAACCTTTAAATGGATACATTGTGTTATGGGAAAATGTAAAACTTCTGCCATCTGCTGTTCCTCTACATTAACTATTAGAAGAAACAAATCAAATTATTAGAAGATATGTCAAATAATCTAAAGAACAAAGCTATAACACTTAGTACATGATCCTAATGCAGCGATGGACTTGTAAATTTGATGGCTTTGGCTTAGTGAACTTGTACAAGAAAATTAGGTCAAAAGGCATCTGACAAGAAATTGGAATTTGGTTACAAAGCACAGGAAAGGCATGGAATAAGGGAGAAGACAAAGGAATGTAGAATGAAAAAGACATTTTCAGCCTTCTAATTCGTCAGAGGAAGGGACAAACAAATTATGAGGACTTGTTATTAACATTGATACAAAACCAAAATGTTCATATGATAATGTCCTCTGTTGTGCACCATACAGCATGTGAGTCCTTACCAAGAGCACGCTGGATTGGTTTTGGTTTCTTCTTCCAATAAATGAAAATCAGGTACACTGGAACACTGGAGAAGATCATCAGACAGCCATAGCCTGGAAGGGAGACAGTTTCATGACTGTGCGCATAGGGTACTGTGTTCACCCTTCACATGCTGATCAAAGAGGTCAGTTGGTCACGAATTTCCCTGTCTTTTATGCTATATTTTCCAAGTTAGGGTGAATATCAAGCTCTTTTTAATACATAATCAATCTTGCCCTTGTCAGCAGTAGGTACGACTCGCTCACGCTGATACAAACATGTACATACATATACAGAGTGTCCCAGGAGGAATGGACAAAACTTCGGGAGGGTGTTCCTTATATTAAAGTATGCCAATATAACCCAAAACACCTATGTCCAAAGTTGAACGGTTATGGAGATAATGGCCAGAGAAGTGTCAAACTTTGACCGGTGTTGCACACTTGTTGATTACAAAATACATATTAAAACTGGCAGGAATATGTGGATTCTGTAATGTTAATAATGTACGTAACATCAAACTAACTTGTGAGTGACGGAAAGCCATAAAAGTGAAGTACGAAATACTCGCTCGCCATGTCATAATTGTCCTTAGGTTTCCAAGCACTATACATGACACATGACTGGCGAGCGATGACGTAATATGGCTGCGCTACAACCCGACCACATAACTGTAAACGTACATTNGTGCAGTGAAGCGTAAATACAGTGTTTCTTTATTTGGAATTTGTGACAGTCTTATATTATTAATTGCTAAAACCCTCATGCGGGCTTCCTGAGCATATGGGAACTTGTCCCAAGATGAGAAATGTATGAACTTCCAGTTAATGGTAAACATACTTCCTGTCAGTGACAGCACAGAACATGGTGAAACCACACAACAGAATTCCCACCATCAGAGCATGGGGAGTTGGGACACACAATTTTGTCAATGAAACAATTGGCCTGCAAGTGTACTTTTAAGGAAATAAGCTGAGTATGCAGTGAGAACCGAGTAGCAAAAGGGATAGAACAATTGCAAGCCAATGTACCTGCAGATCAAACTGAACATGAAGTGTTGTTTACTGAATATTTTAGCTGAGCAATCAGCATTTCCACTTTAAATTTCAAAGATCCTACACTGAAAGCCTGTCATCCATGTCAGCCATTGTGACTGAAGTTCCTGCTGCCTTCCTCAGACCCAGAACAGTACCTTAAATTAAGTCATGAAAATTTCCTGCATATCCTTGACAATGTGAAAAGCATCAGTAAATAAATGAAGTGCCAAGAGAGCAGTGGACTATCTGGTAACATGGCCTAGCATAATTTACACTTTCCCTCACAATGAAAGATTCAATTCTCATGTGACTGGCTTACCTGTCTCCACGGGGCTGGCTATCATCGGCACAACCGTCACAAACAGACTGGCAATTATATAGACAATGGGGAAGACCAGATTCACCTTTATCGGCCTGGGTAAGTTGGGCTGAGCCCATCGCAGCCAGGGGAGACAAAGTACTGCCACTCCAATGCTCAGCTGAAACACAAAGGTATTGTAGGCAGCGAGGTCTAAAAGTGCAGTGTTGCCAGATGTCAGTGAATGCAGTTACAGTGATCTGTGCTGCTATTATTAAGGTCAGAACATTGATATGTTTGTGAAACACAGTCAGTCTCTTAATCTTTACAAGCTCTTTGGTATAAAGTGTTCAGGAGAATATTTGTATTTAAGAAAGTTAAAGTTCAGGACATTACATAACAAAGAACTGTGTTATGGTAGTGAAATACAGGTTATGACAGAATGGGTGTGTGACTAGAATAGAGGGAGGGAGGGGGGAAATGAATGCAAATAGAATTTTGGTGAGGAAACCTCTTGGGAAACAACAGCTTTAAAGACCAAGGAGGAGATATGAGATGATAATATTAAGAGAGATCTTAGGAAGATGGATTGTGTAGATAAAAGGTGGCTAGAGCCAGCTCCAATGGCAGACTTTGGCAGTAACATTGTTCAACCTCTGAGCTTTACTGAGCACAGACTCCGAGACTTTCAACTTGCATATAAATACTATAAATGTCTCACCCATGTGGCAAATCCCACGTAGTTAATGAGGGCAAAGATGTCGGAAACAGTGAGGTACAACAGAGACAGCAGGGCCTGCAACATGCATGATAACCATCATTTTTTGCTGCACTTGAAGTCGTTAATATCCTACTTATTTTAAATATACATATATATATATATAAACTGGGTCATGAATTATAGAATTCTTAAAAGAATTCTGCAGTGTTGTACAGAAACACTATGTAGCTAGATAGACTTAAAAGGATTCTGACAATGGTGTACACTGTACTTCTTTTGGCTTATTTTGGACTTCACCCATCGTCTGGTATGTAAAAGACAAAAAGACAAAAAACCCAACTGAGTAGGTTTATCCTTCCCTATCCACCTGAAGACAGAGACAGATCCAGTCTCTGAAATGTCGGGGTTTTTTGTCTTTTTGTCTTTTACATACCAGACGATGGGTGAAGTCCAAAATAAGCCAAAAGAAGTACTATGTAGCTACATCAACATTCATTTAAATTCTGCAAATATAGACTACTGTTAACGAAGGTTTATACAAACAAGTTACACAGAAATTTTTATGGATGTGTGTCTCCATTTCTTAAGGAAAAGATACCCTGAACTATGTTGAGATGGCTAGAGTTCTGGTTCTATGAGAATTTCCTTCAGGTGACAACAATCTGCAGATGCCTTTTGAAGAAATGAGCGCATGCCGATGTAAATTCCACCAACTGTTTAAAAAAATATGTGTCACACAATAATGTTTCTTTATAGCAGTACATTCTAATTTGATGATGTAATAAAAGTCTCTCTTAAAAATATAAAATGAACTTTTTTTTTCAGCATTATTTTACAGAAGTCACAGCCTAAAACAGTAACAGCTGAGCTGCCAAACCCCTATAAAATGTAATGGCAAATTATATGGGGGGGGGGGAATCTGTGTACTATCAATTACTTTGTCCAAAACAGTCTGGTGAAAATAGATATTATGACGGTTATGGTCTTGTGGGATTTGATGCCATGTAGTTTGGTTAAGTAGGGACTGACATCAAGGAAGAACCTACTCCTTCCTTCTTCAAAGAAAACTATGAAAAGATAGAGGTTATCATTATTCCTATAAATAAAACATGGCTGCTGCCAGAACATCAAATCTCACAGATAGTTTTGTACTTCTCCATTCTCTCTCTCCTTTACAAAATTTCAGTGCATTCTTTATCGCCTTCCCACAGTCCATTATATGTGTAATGATTTTTATATCTGAATTTAATTCCAACGTGCTTGTGAACTGGCTGCAAACTTGCTGAGCACATAAGTAACCACATCCAAGGTGAGAAACTGTAACATGTCTAACAGCAGACATGAGAGAATGCTGTCATGATGTTTTATAGCTGACGAGAAAGTGACACGCACCATGCACAGCACGGCTGGAGTTGGAGTAAGTTTCTTGATCTGTATCATCGTCAAGATCTCTGGCATCTGCCCTTCACATGCCCCAGCATAGAACAGTCTGCAAACAGAAGAGACACCCTCAATATTCTGTGTGACACTACTTCCTGTACTTCCATTAACAACTGCAAATTGCTCCCTTGTTTACCCATAACAATCCTGACTCATGGGGGCAATGAAAAGTAAACGAAGAGATAATCAAGCAACACTTTTCACGTGGTCATGCCCTCTTAAATACAGGTCTCAGACTCCCTGTGATGGGGTTTTCATATACATGGTGGCTGCCATGTTGTTCAAAATGTCTTGTGAAAATAGTCACATCCAGTCTCAATATTACTGTGATAGGAACCTCCACTGCTCAACAGACTGGGGGCAGTTTCCCCATTAAATGATACAGAGTCCCCTCTTCTGTTAGATTTGTAGGTAATGACTTTTTTTTTATTGCTAGTGGGGTGGGACTAAATCCCTTGTACTGCAGCCACTTCTGGCCTACTGTACCAGCTCCAGATGATAGGTGAGGGTGATTGTGGAGCAATTGGTGGTATGAAGATTGGCAGGGGAAACCAAAGTACTCAGAGAAAACCTGCCCCAGTGCCACTATGTCCACCACAAATTCCACTTGACCAGTCCCGAACCCGGGCTTCCGCAGTGGGATGCCAGCGACTAACTGCTTGAGCTATGGCATGGCCAGTAGGTAATGACTTACTCTGGAGTAAGATAAATGATTCCTGCAGTCTCAAGTACTGCCACATTCATACAAATATATCACTTCACTTCAGGTGGTCTGCTTCAGAACCAGATTGGGACCTAACCACACAAACAAGGTTGAAAAACCAGCCTCAATATTTGAGTTTTGACCTTAACAAAATTTTTATGGAAGAATTTTAACTGTTCTGAGAGAGTCTTCACTACTTCTTCCTTCCTATGCAGCCAAAGACTTACATTTTTCTGTCAGAAGTGCCAACATACAGACAAAAGCAGGTGACAGACAGACTGTTATCAAAAAGAGCCATTAGTACCTAGGTGGTGAGCTGCTTACCGGGATGAGGTCAGAAGTATCCCATTCACAGCTCCAAATGTTGACAGGGCCACAAACACAGGTATGATCCATGCCATGTAGCCATACAGGTGGTTAGCAAATGTCTGTGAAAACAGAAACACATCAGTGATAATGTAGCCCTGCTCTGTACTTGCCAGTTCAGATGTTGGAAAGGAGCAAATCAAGAGAAAAATTCAGACTCTGACTTCTAATGCCTACTGAATGTGTACATAAGCCCTTTACATCATTGCTACCACCAATCACACAGCTCAAGCAATACCATTACCACGTCATGAAATGAGATCAATCATTATTTTTACCACAGCAACTGCTTCTGAACCCAAAACTTCGTCAACAGACAGCGTAGTGTAGAAAGCCACATTTGTCATGACGTACACGACAGTCACCAGGGTGCAGGAGATGGCAATAGCACGGGGCAGGTTCCTGATAGGGTCCTTGAGCTCCTCTATGATGAAGTTGAGATAATTCCTGCAAACAAACACAAGACATGGTTTTCGCTGTTTTTGCGCAACTTTGTTTGCTGAAGATACAAATGCTGCTGAGTCTGATGATACTGGTACCACACAGGGGAACTTATGTATTCCTTAATTATACACTACCTTAAAATAAATATTAAACATAAAAATCTTACACCTTACTAATTATGCTGGCCATCCTTCACTCCCAGGAAGTCTCCTAGTACTCATTTCTGCTAGAGGCTGAGTTGAACCCAGGGTCTCAGTGCGGCTGGAAGGATTAGGTGAATTGAAAAATGCAATGGCTCATCAGGGAATTGAACCCGTGACATACTGGCTTGAAGCATAGTGCCTCAACCACGTGCCCCTAACGTTTATAGTAAGAACATAACAAAACTGCAAGCCGCACATGTTCAAGGCACAGTGCTTAATTAAACGCAAGGATGAGATTACCTCCTCCATATCAGTATTTTGCAATTATTCAGTCATGTGTCATGTAACAAATCAAACTGAGGAACCTGCAGACTGAATTCAGTAGCCAGATCCGGTGACCATCACTGCCATCCTTCTGCCAGTTTGAATGAAAATCAGTTTCTTACCAGCCATTGTATGCAAACAGGCCAGAGTAGAATGACAGCGCAATCTTTGTCACATCGGCATTTGTGTTTTCGAATGTGAAGTATTCCGTGTGTCCTGAAACACAAACAGACACAAAATGAAATTGTTAAGACACTTCTGAAGTGGTTTAGAGAAACAGCCAAATGTGCTCTTGGGGGTGACAGTTCTGTCTATACACTGCTTTGCAATTGCGCTGGATGGCAGGCTTGTAGCAGGATATTAGACAACACTTCTGATGGCACACATACAAGATATATTGCTATTACTGTAGCGACTTCCAGGAATCCACAGAATCGTGTGAAAGTGTTGCACAAGACACAGCATATTAGCTATCTGAGTTTCACTGAACGTTTTGCAATACTTGGCATCTCATGACTATGCAGGACTTAATCAAAGTGAACATAATTCAGACATGGGAACAGTGACCCAACAGAAGCACTATACACATGACTTTCACCAAGATCAATCAGAACAGTCGAGATAAACATGATTATCCATCCACTGTGAAACAGAATGAACCTTAAAATGAACCAAAATGAATGTAAGTCTAAATGACTGGATGTCAGTGCTTTGTACTAAGTTTCAGTTAAATCAGTCCCACAGTCTTGGAAACCAATGACGACAGTCATGCACAGTTTTAAAAAACCTAAGTCTTTGTCTGCTTAAAGTGAGAAAACCATTATCCTTGATGTCACTGTTCTTCCTGGAACACGAAATATACATTTAATTCCCTCAAAATATCTTGTGATATCAACACTGGAAAACTAGAGTAAAAATTTGACACTGTCTTTATCAATTAATTTGATTTGTTTCATTCTGGTCCATCACACTGATATTATGAAAAAGTTACATAGTTCCCTCCAGTGTGACTCGTTAAGATCTTATTATTTCAATTATTCATGCCCTTACATGTTTCGGTCTTTAGAGACCATCTTCAGAGGGACATCTTTACAACACAGTGGGCCACAAACACATACAGGACAACATTAAAGAACCCTCTTCTAAAGAATGACAACGTGGCACACATTCAGCCCCCGTCAAAAGAAATACTAAGAGGGACGACATGAACCAGCTTGGTTTACGAATTCCAATAGAATCTTAACAAACTAACTATTTATATTGTATGTATATATTTTAACTTTTAGAACATGTACTGTAACGGTGGCTTCTAACAGTATTGATGTAAAGATGTCCCTCTGAAGATGGTTTTTGAGGACCGAAACATGCCAGGGCATGAATAATTGAAATAAGAAAATCTTAACCAGTCACACTGGATGGAACTATTTAACTTTTTCATGTCTTTATCAGTTGTATAAAATTTGGGACTCAGAGAGATAAGAGTTCTACTGGAATATCCTTCTAAGTCAAAAGTTTACAAATTATAAATCACTCTGTCCAATGTGACCTGTAAGTCTTTTACTACATAAAAACTTAACACCCTTACATGTTTCGGTCTCTGTGGACCATCCTCAGAGGGCAAACATCACTACAAATAGGAAACCACTATCACATAATTTGTTTACACGCAAAGTACGTACACTTATATGTTACGACACACAGTACACAGAATAGAACATTTCACAAACACAGCAGTTTCCTGGGAATGTAAGTTTTAAAAAATTGTATAAAATTCCTTGATGCTAATTAAAAGTTTTTTAGATTGTCAATAATTAAAATTCGTAAACCATGCAGGCTCGTGTTCGTCCTCCCATCGTCTCTCTTATATGGGGCAGATATTGTGCCACCTGGCTATCTTGATGTGGAGGTTCTTTATATCGTCCAGGGTTTGCTCGTGGCTGCTGTGCTGTTTTCACTGTGAAAACAGAGTGATTTATAATTTGTAATTGTTATTGTGACGGACCAGAATGAAACAAATCAAGCTCAAAAGTTTACATTGTGCCGAGTGGACCCAGCTGGACTCCACCACCCCCCACTATGCGAAAGTCAAAAGTTTCATATGACATCATCACAGGAAGGTCTTAATGTGATCTCAAGCATGAAATTCATTTCTGAACATGTCTGATGAAGTTTACACTTCAAGTGGATAAGGAATCCATTCAGGACAATTTGTAACAGCAGGCACTGTTGCTCTCCATGCAAGAATGGCCTTGGTTCCAAGCTGTGTGAATGCACATTGAATGCAACACTGCAACAGAACTAAGTGATCACATCTGGCACAAGCCAGGGCTCCTAGACATGATCACACCATGAATATTTGCCTTAACATTTACACACAGCAAAATATGTTCCTGTAGAATTACATTCTCACAGGGAATTTCACCTTCATTCTGCCCACACCCACTTCATCGCAACACAAATGAAGGTACAGTGGACCCATGCTAATCCGGTTACAGTTAATCTGGATTTAAATACGAAAAATTATGTTCAGTGTTGAGTACACACTTCAAGGAGCAAGAGGACTTTCAGACAGCGTTGAGGGCAGCTGGAGAGACTGAAACTGTGCAACAGAATATACAAGACTGGCTTCAGCTGGATGAATGGGACTCTGTATATCAGCTCCTGACAGGAAGAAGTTGCTGTAGTGATTTTCTATTTATTTACTTTCATCAGCACTGCCTATATTATTATATTTTCCATTTGTTTTCTAAGTTTTTGGTCTTTCACCGCTCTCTTTTGATTCATTAATCTGGATGTACTGCCCCCAGTCAGTCTGGATTAGTGAGGGTTTACTGCAATATGGAGTGCCAGTTTGAACTAGGTTGTGTCTGATATGTTGAAACTTCCCCTTTTCAATTCTTTGGGTGGGGTGAGGCCAAGTCCATTAATATTCTAAGCTTGTATGGTCCTAAAGACAGCAAGGGGTGAGCACTGGTAAAATTATAGATAACTGGCAGGGGAAACCTGTCCCAGTACCATTGTCCACCAACAATCCCACGTCGACTACCCTATGACTGAAACCAAGCCAGAAGTCAATGATCCTGAACATTCCATAAAGACCTATGAATGAATGGAGGTATAGCTCCACGTATTATTAACATAAACACTAGACAGAGGTGAGTGGTCCAGCTTTGTGCCCCGGGGGTAGAGCCCACATTACACAGGAGACAGCGAGGGACCCAGAGCCAGGTCAGCCTGTTGTGGAGAAGACAGAAATCTCCTACCCTGCCAGGAATCGAACCTCAATTCTTTGGCCATCTAGCCCATCATTATACCAACTAAGCTATCACGGCCCATTGTTTTACACATTTTACACAAAAAACATATGCTTCCAAAAGATCTGCAATTGAAAAAATGTTTCTGCACCTGTGAGTACTCTGCATCAGAGTACAAGGCTGCGTTATAATGAGCCAGTTGAATCCCCAGTTAATTTGCGCTTTCCAATATGAAGTTTTAACCAAAGAAGATTAACATGATGACTGTACAAACGTTGTAGTGTTGGGCTTCGTGTTCGGAGTGACTTAAGTTCGACTCTCGGCTGTTGTGACAAATTTATCATTGTCTTCCCTAATTTCAGGGGACGTATGTTGGGATAGCACTGGCCACGACCACTTCCTTGTATATCCTTCCGAATTCACAATTTGCAATCTTACGCTATGTAACGTGTGTCTGTTGCCTTGTATGGGTAGGCACTTCATCTCTCGCATTAAGGGAAGCACACAGACTGAGGGTGTCTGTGAATAGGGTGAAGGGGGAGGGAATGACAGGAGGTTTGAGAAAATTACATAATGAGGAGCTTCGTAAGTTGTACTCCTCACAAAATATTATAAGAAATTAACAGGATGGGGCTGACAGGCCTAGTAGCATGAAATTTGGAGCGGAGGAATTTCTACGTTTCACCACGAGAACCCAAACATAAGAGAAAATTGGTAAACCTAAGCACAGATGGAAGGACAATATTGTAATTAATCTCAAAGGGAATTTCGTGTGAGGAGGGTGTGGTCTGAGTCGTCTTCATCTTGTTTTATGCATCGAGCGAAACCTCCCGTGTCGTTACTTGCTCCATTTTTGCGCCAAGTGTCCCCGGAAACAAGACATTGCAGGTTCTGTCTTCCTCAACTGGAGGACAAAGCAACACATCTCACAAAAGCTGCTGCAATTTTCCAATTTAGTAGCACTGCGTTGCCATAGAAACGGCCAGTAATCAAACCCACACAGCCACACACATACCGCCGGACACATCACTGTATCCGCTCCTTATCCCAGCCAGCCAGATTAATTCAGTCCTTCTGGTCATCTCATCTCTCCCTCAGGTTCTGTTACATCTCCCTCTGGCCATATACTCCCTGGTCTCGTGACACCCTGATAATATTTCGTCAAGAAAGCAAATTATGAAGCTCCTCAGTATGTATTTTCCATTCTCCTGTCAATTCCTCTCCCTTGTGTTCTTCCCTCTAAAAAGCGTAAAAGATTGGAATATACAAAGCTGAAATTCTGCCCATAGTTCTGTATGGGTGTGAAAACTGGTCTCTTACATTGAGGGAGATTGATCGCGGGGTGCCGAGGGGGGAAATGTTTAGATATGAGACACAGGAAGTTCGAGTCAATTGCATGAAAGAGTAGGTTTATACAATTCGCAAGGCTTCAGCGAAAATTTGTATGATGAGATAAATGGACATATAGCACGTGAGTGTAAGGGAAGAAAACTGATACAAGGTTTAATCGAATGACTTCAATGGAAGAAACCCCACTAAGAAACTATCAGCTTCTCAAGAAACATTATGCTCCATACACTGGCCACAGTGGTCTCCCTCGCTTCTCCTTTCCAGGCCCTTCCCCCAATTTCCTTTAGGCTCTAATAACGGGTTTACATGATGTCACTTACTCCGTTCTTGCGCCGCTCGGAACTTACGAATCCTAGCGATGCTGCAGCCCGTCCAACGAAATGGTACTGTGGGCTGCTTATCGCGTAGGCGTTCGAAGCAGACAATTCTCTACTCCATCGATCCGGTGAGCACAGTGGCAAAGCATCTGCCCAGCATTCCGAATACACTAGGTTCGAATCTCTGCTCGGAGTCCAGCAAATGCTGAAACCCGCCTTATGACATAATATAATATACACAGTTGATAAATCGTTGTCCCTGAGCTCATTTCACCTGCACGCCACGGAGACATGTTGGGAGGGGAGACTATATACCTCCACGCACTGGATGGAGAGCTTGAAGTCCCGGGCGCTTTACCTTCCCTTCCCAGGGCTTATCGGTTAGGAGGTTGAGTGGGGTCCTAAAGCCCTTCTGTGTGCAGTAGTGAATGCCGGAAATCAAACCCCAATTTAACGGTCGTCCAGACCGCGAGCTACACGCGTCCTTTGATAAAATGTTGTCAATCAAACGAAACTTTTGCAAGTTTTATGTTGCCTTCTTCGGGAATGTGTTTGTTATTTAACCAAGATCTGACAGTACTGAAACTGATCATTCAACAAGTCAGCAATTCTTGCTGTCATTTTACGCATAATCACCCCCATCCCGTCTGAATATCCACACTACTACAAGATTACACAACTGTGTAGTACTTTGAACCGTGAAATACATTCAGCCAAATGCGAGAGGGCGTATCTCAAGCGAAGAGAATGCAGTTCGTGGCGCCAGGCCAACTCAGAAGTTTGCAAAACGCATTGGGCTGGTCGCGCTGTGAACAGGCATGACCCCCGCGTCACTGCTGGGGCTCGAACCCTGTCCCTCTCATCTGTGTACTGTGTGCAGAACTGACCGATGCCAAGCAGGACGAACAAGACGCCACTTCCGGTAGTGCGGTTTCAGCCAAGCTCGCGGAAGTCACAACCGCGAGGTTTCCGAAAAGGAAGTACTGGCCTGCGAGGTGACGAACACACAAGTACCTGCACTTGCCGGAAAAAGGAGGCATCTCATTACGGAAGCGGAGACCAACAGGCGATGTAAAATTGCCCCTGATAGGCAGAAACTGCGGACAGCAGGCAGCAATGTTATTTGTCCCGCACTCTGGCCGCAGCCAGTGGCGTTGTGCGATGCTGTAGGTACCAATTCTGGCCACAAGCTGTCCAGTGGCGCGCGTAGTACACACGTCTGGGCACCATGCTGTACGCTGTACGCACACACTTCACGCGACAGATTCACCAGACTCACCTGAAAAGAGCTGCACCAGTCCGGTCACGATGATGATGAAGAGGGCTAGCAGCTTGGCGTACGTGAAGACGTCCTGTACTCTGGTGGCCCACTTGACATCCCAGCAGTTCACGAACGTCAGAACCACTGCAACACAGGACATTACACATGAAATGCCTCGTGTCAGCCTCAGCCCTTGCCCCACGTCTGAACTTACTAAACGACGCTTTCTGTAGCTCAGGGTACAGAGTGTCAGACGGTACGATGATTAGTGAGTGAATAACAAATTGGAAATCATTTGGCTTCCCGGCATTTGCCTACAGGGACTGAAGAAAACAATAACACAAAAAAATAACTTATCAGGAGGCTGGTCTCCGAGCCAAGATGCGAACCATCAGTGCTAAGTTCGAAGTAGTAACATGTCGCGCCCATCAATCTATGATTCGCGCTTCGGCCGCCTTTACTTACCGTGCCCGTGTTGATGGTCCATGTGCGTGTTTCCGATGATGGTATGGGCACCCCTGGAGCATTCTGCAACAGGAAACGCGTATTTTGGCTGCGAGCAGTTGCATCACTGCGCAGCCGCGTGCCCCTAACAGCCCCCCGGTGGTTCCGGGCCAATGTGCGGACCTTGGGACTGATCATGACGCCAGGTGACATCACCTCAATTACTGACACGAACCTGCTGCACCTTCGGGCGCGACAATTCAGACACCGAAGTGCTGATTACGAACTGGGAGACTGGGATTCAGGTTCTGCCTGGGGCAGGAAGTGTCTCTTCTCCACAGCGTCCAGACGGGCTCTGAGGCCCACCCAGTCTCCTATCCAATGGGTACCGGGGCCTCCTACCCCGGAGGTAAAGCGGCCTGAGCTTAAAGCTGACCACTCACCTCCGTCTAGTGTCGACGATGAGTGTGTATGCAGCCCTACCTCCACTTTCCCATGCACCTCCAGGATATAGCAATACTCCAAAACAGACCACAACCGCGTTACTTTGCCGTATGTAGCTTACAGGTATGACACAGCATCATTCAAACTGACGAAAGAACAAATTAGGGAAGTAACTAACTCTTCATGACACGTCCACTCAACCTTCACCCGGGATTACAGGTTCGCCGTACAGAACTGCTAGCCGGCCGATATCGCAGTTACCTGAAAAACCCGCTCTCCTTCTCATTCCGTCACGCCAGACGGCTTGCTTTCAGCCGACGGTTTACCCTGAACACCTCTGTGCACGTGCGCGTAACAGCTCTTGGAACTTCTGGACAAATTTCCACGAAATTCGTTGCTGGGGAGGGGGGAGGTCTTACCGTAATCTGTCGACACGTTCAAAGTTTGGTTAAAATCGGACAACAATAACGGCCACTTTATGTGAAGACCTACGCGCGTTTCTGAGCGCGCATCTCGACCGTAATTGCACAGAAGATAGCAAAGCCGCGGATATTCCCAAACTGTGTACGCAAAAGGTAAAGCTACTATCCCTGTAACAGGCCGTGGAGGGCCATAGGGTTGTGAGACGTCGAGGTTCCCATATTTTCTGGACAACCGGCTCACAGATGGCGGTGACGCTGTCAGCCTTACGCGCCGGCTGCCCTTTACCCCCAGGAAAATTCCTGGTACTCGTTTCTGTTAGAGGCAGTGTCGACCCCAGCGCCACAGTGTGGCTGGAAGGATTACGTCAACTGAAAAAATGTTATGACCTCATCAGAAATCGAACCCTCGACCTTCCAGCTTGTAGCATAGTGCCTCAACCAACTACGCTACCAACTTTGTCATTAACACAAAAAGAACTTGATGTAAAAATGAGACACTCAGCAGTGTATGTCATTTATTTTGGGTCGACCGTGAGTGTGATACTTCGTCTCCCACTAGAACGAGGAACGCGTGTCGGCACTCTATCGACGCTGTTCGACCCAAGGAGGAGGAACTGACAGGAGGGCGGAGAAAATATGCATAATGAGGGAAATTCACTATTCTCTCATACAATTGTTGTAAAAAACCCTGAAGGAAGACACCATTTGGCAGATCTAGGCATATGTGGGAGAATGATATTAAAATCACTCACGAAGAAAGTGGATGTAAGACGGTGTGGACGCGCCAGAAGAGGCTCTTGTGAACACGATTGTGAACTTTCGGGTTCCATAACATTTCTTGATAAGCTGAGGGACTGTTAGCATTTCAAGATGGCTCTTGGGCGTCGGCACGGTCGTCCCGTTTCACCTGGCACTCAGTTAAACACAGACAAGCACAGACTTCCCAGCGCAGGTACCGAGTTCCTGTCCCGACATGAAAACACAAGAGAAGCTGATAGTCACCCTGCTGCTTAAGAAACTCCCTGTCTTTTAGGTAACCCGAAGACTGACTACACAGTTCACACAACAGCCGGCCAATGTAATCTATCATAAGTCAACTGAATCCATCCGTCATCTTGAGAACCTATTTCTCCGAAACCCATCTCTCTCGCGGACTACCAAGTGGACACTTTTCAAATGTCGACATACCAAAATGCTGTATGTACGAAAAATTGATGTTATTTGATTTTAAGGTGAAGCTGTCCCTGCGTCTAAGATCCATAAGTGTGGAGGGAGTGGAGGTACAACTCCAAGCATTCTTCGAGGCACGCGACATGTCAACACACACCAAACGTACTGGAGTAGGAAGACATCCTCGTTGTAGGTTCAGCTGAGTATATTGCGCTTAAAGAACAACTTGCATGCCTGCTTGGAGTGACGTAACACCTCCTGGAGATGACGTCATATAACTACTACACAACGTAGCGGGCATCTTGCATTCTTTCTCTCGCTGCGCAGTAGCGCACTGCGCACAAGCGACACTAATTTATCATTGTCGTATGCCAAATGATCTGCACTATCACTACCAAATAGTACCATGGACTTGACCGAGCTACGCCGATAACCTACCGATAACTCGGTCCGCGCGCAACAAATTCTGCAGCACTTGCTACGTAAGCGGTCCCAGAGCGAGGGTTCGAACCCCGCTACAGCCTTCCATATACTGTGTGGCTGCAGGTCTCGCGACGGGCCGATCCCCGACACAAGGAGCTCAGGCTATAAACGCAAAGACGCGAAGCACTCCATCGTTCAGTGCCCTATCCAAAGGGTTAATAACAGCCAGAGCGTAAAGCCATCCAGTGATCTATATACATTTCCTGTATCATAGTAAGAACGCTGTCTAAGCCGGGCTGTTAGAACGATCACGAGGGAATATGGCTTGGGAAGGATGTGGGAGGAAGTGGTTGTGGCCTAATTATCCCCGCAGTCTCGAGTCAGGCGCTGCTGTGCTATGCGGACACTCCCTAACTTGTTAATGTCAGTGCTGGAACCGATGAACCTGTGTTTCAACATCTCGCCATAGAACTGAGGAAAGAGTTCTGCCGTTCAAGGCTCGCTGATGAGTTAGTCACTCTGACACTGCATTGTGAAATGAGCACTAAACTGGGCCGGCACTGGCCACGGGTTGGACTGGTGAGGTTCCATTCCCGACAGAAACAGGACTGCACCGGCAACACAGTGTACGCACCGGCCCTGGGTCCCAGCTAGTCAGACGAATAGGCATGGGTGTAAAGAGGCCGGAGCGTAACGCTGACTACACACCTGGATCTGACGGCAAAGTTAGGAATACGTGGCACTTCACCCTCTCCCCCACACGTATTCAATTGCTGTCAGGAGCGAGAAACAGGCAATCTAAGAGGCTACGATGGGCTGGGTATGTAGAAAGCATGCACACTCGCAAGGAACGCTTTTGGAAAATATATCCTCTTCACTATCCACGATTGCTTAGCTCGTCAAAAAATTATTATCTTTATGCAACTGTCACAGAAACCGGCCACTGGCCCCATCTTGAGCCATATGAATCCACTCCGCCCACACCCTCATTCCGTTTCTTTAAGACCCAGTTTAACATTATCATTCCATCCAAGAGTAGGTCTCCCAAACGGTTTCATCCCTTCGCGTTTTCCCGACTTAAGTTCTGTAAGTACGTAATCTCCCAATGCATGCTGCAAGTCCAGCCTCACACCGTGATGTAACCCCAGGGTCTGCATCCCTGTACTTTGACGTCGCCCGTGACGCAACTGATTGCGTCACCCGCCAGAATCCCGTGACGCGGGGATCAATACTGAGATGGGGAGGGGGGGGCAACCGGTGGGCTCGGGTTCAGGACCCCTCTCTGCGAATTTGTGAGGTGAGGAGTGCTACCGGCCCTGCGTTTCGTACGGTCTCGGTACTTTGGGGAAACACGGTGACGCAACTCCATGAAGCGGAAATACCCGGAGATACCAGCATGACGCAACTCAGGGCAGCATAGCGGTAACCTCAACGGGGCCCTGGTCCCCTCTTCCATTATATCTTGCAACTTCGGCCTTTGCCTGAGCCAGCCGAATCCAGTGCCCCTCATACTCTATTTCTTTCAGACCCACTTTAATATTGTGCACTTTGATCATGCAGATGGCCGCATTCCTCCATGTTCGCATTATATTGGCGCCTAATGGTAGGGACGTCAGTAGCAGTGGTCGTGGTTAACTCCTGGTACTATTTCGGTATTTGCTATTAGGAACTGAGGAAACCCACAACAAGCCCCAGGCAGACAGGCTGGTCGGCCGGGCTGTCCCGAAAGGCCCGGAAACTGAAACGTGAGCCTCGGGAAGCTTTTACCGCCTGCCAGAGTGCAGCCAGGGCTCGCTCCGCATTGACGCCCAATCGCCCCGTCACGAGACGCAGCAGCAACCTTCATTGCTCACACACACAGTACACGTTCTTTGTCCGGGACACAGCTGGTATCACAACATGCAGTTAAGCTATCCCTGTAACAGGCCGTGGAGGCCCATAGGGTTGTGTGTTGTTGAGGGTCCCACATTCTAGACAGTGGGCTCACAGACTGAGGTAAGGTTGTCAGCCTTACGCTCGAGCCGGCCTTCCTTTACCCCTCCAGGAAGATTCCTGGTATTCATTTCTGTTAGAGGCTGAGTCGACCCCAGGGCCCACAGTGCGCCCAGAAGGATTAGGTCAATTGAAAAATCCAATGACCTCATCGGGAATCGAAACCGCGACTTTCCGGCTTGTAGCACAGTGCCTCAAACAACTACGCTACCGCTTGGCCCCTCACTGGAATGCATGTACTGAAGAATA